TTAACCTGGCCACCACATGACTGCTTTGCGAAGTATTGCCAGTTTATCCTGCCTTACCAAGCGTTTGTATTTCTGCCTTCTTTCCACGTGTATGACCTGTTTATCTGTTCGTTTTGAATTCTCTTTTGGATTACCCCTTTTGCCTGTTTGCCTGGTTGGACTGCCTTACTGTGTTTTTCACCTCATTGCCTGTTTTTACTGACCCTGAGTTTGGTTTTGTTGGACTGCTTCAATAAACATCCGCATATGGATTCTTCCTCGGCTTCCGCCTCACCCTCATTACAGAATACTTCGCCTACTATGAATCCAGCGGAAGTTTCTCAGCTCCAAGCGGCATTCGCTTATCAGAGCGAACTGCTAAAGAACTATCAAGAGCAGCTCAACAAACTGCAATCGGCAAACGATGATTTAACCCACTATATTCGATCGCTTCCTTCGGCCACACCACCAACGTTAAGACTGGCATTGCCAGACAAGTTTGATGGCTCTGCAGGACAATGTCGTGGTTTTATCCGTCAAGCCCGCATTTATGTTGAAAGCCAGAGAGATCAGTTTCAATCTGAAGCAAGTAAATGCACTTTTCTGATGTCACTATTATCTGGTAGAGCGATCGATTGGGCTGCAGCGGTTTGGGAGACAGATTCACAGTTTCATTCATCCTTTGAATATTCCCTACAACTACTCAGAGATGTGTTTGAATATCCCGAGGGGGGCAAGGATATTTCCACACAATTGTTACACATGTCTCAAGGCAACCGTACCGCTGCAGATTTCGCCATTGAATTTAGAACCCTTGCCGCTCAAAGTGGATGGAATGATGTTTCTCTGAAGGCTGTTTTCAAACAGAGTTTAAACCTCGAGCTTCAGACAGAACTGGCCTGCAAGGGTGAGGATTTAACTTTTTCTGAGTTTGTCACTATGGCTATCAAGATAGATAACCTGCTGAGAAACACTCCCAAGAGGAAATCTGCTCGTCTGCCTCACTCAAACTTCCTTACTACAACCACCGTCCACCAAGAGCCCATGCAGATAAGCTACACACATTTATATGATGAAGAGAGGACTCGACGCCGTCAACATAGTCTGTGTTTTTACTGCGGTGAAACAGGCCACCGTAACGTCGAGTGCCCACACAAAGCCCGGGGATCCACCACTACTACCAGCCGGGTGAGTGTTAATCAATTCTCTCTTCTAAGTTCAAAAACGTTTTTGATTCCTGTTTGGCTGACTACTAAGAATGGTCCCATTACTTTGACAGCATTGATTGACTCCAGTGCTGCTCTGAACCTGATCAACAAGGATATTGTCAAGAGATACAGTCTACCTACATTACAATGTGTACCCACCATTTGCATCAGCGACGTCAACAATAAACCTATTGAGGGAGGTATCACCCGACAAACTGCACCTGCCCAGCTACAGATTGGTCTGTTCCATAGCGAAAACATCTCACTCTACATCATTGACTCACCCAGGTATGAAATCATCCTTGGACATCCATGGTTATCTGTTCACGATCCTGTACTCTCATGGTATCATGGAGAACTGACTCACTGGTCCAAATTCTGCCTCACCCATTGCATGAACATCAACATGCCAAGTCCATGTCTCGCCACGAGTGTTGAGAGTCCGGTCTCTGACTCCAGTCCCAAAATTCCTACCTGCTATCACGACTACTTAGAGGTGTTCAGCAAGTCCAAAGCTACACAGTTACCACCTCACCGCCCCTGTAATGTCAGTTAACAATACACTTAAGCGTGAATTAAATGTTTTCAACCACCTAATGCATATTATTTGTAATTGATTTCAAATATATCACAGTTTAAAATTACATTAAATGCAATTAGTTGAACTTTTGAGTGATTTTTTAAACCACTTAAGTGGGACTTTAGTACATAACATATTTATATGTACTTTCATAATTGCTTCTAGTGTCTTTAAAATATGGTTAAAGTGTACTGATCAATGTACTGACACGCAATTAATGTGAACTTAAATATACTTTAATGTCAGTTAACGATACACTTAAGCGTGAATTAAATGTAATATTTTCGACCACCTAATGCATATTATTTGTAACTGATTGTAACACCAAGCCAGCAGAGGGAGCCCTCGCCCGAGTATTGACTGTTAGCACTCCCTCTGCTTTCTCTGCAACCACTTCCTGTTTAGTGGCCAATTTAACCTGGCCACCACATGACTACCTTGCGAAGTATTGCCAGTTTATCCTGCCTTACCAAGCGTTTGTATCTCTGCCTTCTTACCATGTGTATGACCTGTCTATCTGTTTGTTTTGACTTCTCTTTTGGATTACCCCTTTTGCCTGTTTGCCTGGTTGGACTGCCTTACTGTGTTTTTGACCTCATTGCCTGTTTTTACTGACCCCGAGTTTGGTTTTGTTGGACTGCTTCAATAAACTTCCACATATGGATTCTTCCTCGGCTTCCGCCTCACCCTCATTACACCATGACACGTTTTTTTTTTTTCAAAATGCAAAAAATCCATTGAATCAATATAAAAGTTATTTTTCATATTGAAACTGTTGAAAATACACAACATGGTTAATCCACATATGACAGCCTCTGAACTTGGTCAATACTAATCTTATATGCAGGCACTGGACTAAAAATACATTAAATCAGTCATAGCTCCCAAAAGAATTCAATGGGTCGTCTTGTTAATGCTATAAATTAATTACAACAATAAAAGAAAATTTCATCATGAACATACATGAACAACAATATCACACTAAACCACAGAAATTCCAAAATGACATTTCGCCTTACATTCAACTTCCAAAAGTGCATTTATCTTTGCCATGTTACATTCATTTAGTTGACTAGTGCTATACGCTGTATTAACAAAAACATTAATGGCATAAATAAAAACACTTACACTGACAAGCTACGCAATATCACCTTACATTCAACTTCCAAAAGTGCATTCATCTTTGCCATGTTACATTCATTTAGTTGACTAGTGCTATCCGTTGTATTACCAAAAACATAAATGGCATTAATAAAAACACTTAGACTGACAAGCTACGCAATATCTTAATCGAATGCGACTCATCTGCGATTATGAACGCGATATAGCAGTGATCTACGGCTCTGTGTATCCATCTGAAAGCATGTGATGGAGATTAACTATTAATCACAGAACCGGCTTTACTGACGAGATGCGCATGACAATCACATGTGATTTATCGTGCAGCCCTAAGTTTGTTTGTTGATCACAAAGTACAAAATAGACGAGGAAAGCTAGGATGCCGGGTGTATTCAAAGCGCCGCCATTACTGTCTAGAGTGCGTGGAATGGTGCGCTGTGATTGGTTGTTACTGTTTACAGTGCGTGGAATGGTGCGCTGTGATTGGTTGAGTGGATATATCGCATTCTGCAGAGAAGGGAGACTGGCGTTTGTTGCGGTTTGGAAAGAAAGGGAGAAAACATGACAGAATAACTCGGCGGATATCACATTTTGCGTAAAATTAAATTTATTTTTAAAAAATGGCGTTTATCGCGTTTTGGAACCAAACTCTTCATATACAGTTGTGCTCAAAAGTCTGCATACACTTGGACAATTGGTAATATACTGTATGTTCCATTTTTTTAAAGAAAACATGAGTGATCAAGCAAAACACGTTTCTATTATTTCTTATGGGATTCATATTTAACTGCAAGTTATAACAGAATCGCACAATCAGAAAACAGAACATGGCAACAAAGAAAAAAATTTAATGATCCCTGTTCAAAAGTCTGCATACCCTTAGTTCTTAATATTGTGTATGCACAGCATGCAGTCTTTTATAATAGTTGTCTATGAGGCCCTGAATTCTTGCATGTGGTATAGCTGCCCATTCTTCTTGGCAAAATGGGGTCATATGATGCGATTTCAATTTTTCCTTTCTCTTTGGAGTGTTACAAGCTCTTGGTGCATAAAGAAGATCTGTAAAGTTGCAAACATTAAAGTCTCAAAACCAAAGAGATATCTTTATAAAAGTTAAGAGTTAACCACGCCTACCTAAAACAGCTCATTCTAACACGCCCCCACATACCTACGTCACAATGTGGGAAGTTTTGTAAAAATCGACGCGTTTCAAAAAGGCGGGGCATAGAGGAGAAACAATAATGTACAGTATGTGGAAAATAATGTGTTTTTTTAACTTTAAACCGCATAAACACATTTCATTACACCAAATACACAAA